GGTGGGGGCGGGCGGGGGGCACATGGACGTGCCTGGCTGGATTTCCTTATTCCAAGCTAGGTCTCAAGCTAGCCCAAGTTGTTGTTATACATTTATGCATTATATTGCAGAACTGTGCATGACCAGGCAGAAACACTGAAGCTTCACAGCGGTTGTCTGTCATCCCGATCCAAGTGGAAAGAAAAAACCAAATGAGTGACTTGTTTTTAAAACCCAGGTAATAAGTCTACCCTAGTAGGAACCTTCCTATGGACACTGGTTCAAATTCTAGGCCACTCTTAACACACAAATGCCGAATTCTGAATAAAAAGAAATAGGGACCAAAAAATTGGACCATTATTTAATTCAATGTATATGGTGGTTGTTATTAAGGCAATTATTGTTTTACTTATCCTTGGAAAAAAATAAAAATAAAGCAAGCAGGGACTTGGAGGTGAGACTAACAGTACCTTTTAACAGACTGTTTTGAACACTAGGTGCTAATGACAGCAGTAATTAAGGGTCCTTCCTAAATCAAGTGGAAAGATTGCAGATTTCATGGACTAGAACTATAGGAAAAACAGAGCATTTCACAGTTTGTCATGACCAAAACAAAAACAAGCAAAAATAACAGGCTTATTACTGTATTACTAGGTATATTTCTTTGCGTTTAAATGAATTTACAAGTACAGTTAAAGTGGAATAGCAACCACAGAAAGCAATCTAAACTTTCCATCATCTTTCCAGATATTGACTATCTGAAAAAACAACAATTAAGGATCAGATGTAATATTCTTGAATCTAGACTTAACCTATTGCATAATTTTTTAAGAATTAAAATGGAGAAACATCAGATCATCAGTAGAACAAAATCTTGATTGTGTGCTATTAATAATAAGGTATTTTGTATTATCTCAATAAATCTTATAGAATTAGTTTTAGGGTAAAAATACACCCCAGTTTTCTAAAATAGCCAGGAATAAAAGAACTTTGGATCTCATGCATTAGTCATGAGATCTGATTTAAACCATCTTCATTTCTTGGCATTGCAGATTAGCATTGGGTGCTATTTCTAACCTCATAAAGTCAGCAATAAGAAGCTATATTTTCTTCAATTAATCAGGTTTATATGGTGAACTATATCTTTAACATCACTGGATTATATGGTAAAAAATGCAGCAAAATATTGATTAACATGGTGTAAGATTACCTCCTAGTAGTGAAACCAATGCGGGAGAGCATCTGTCACTGAAAGCAACCATATATTTACGGAGAGCTAGTTAGTTAGCATATTGTATCATAACTGTCTCTCCAAGTCTGTTAGAAAATGAAATTGAATTAGTTCTATAGCAAGAAGTCAGATCAGATCATAAAAATATACAAAAAATTATTAAAAGTTATAAGAAAAACACTTCACAAAGTGGCCTCTGTCTTTTTCACACACCTACTAAATAATATCTCTTTAAATTCAGGAAACACATGGCTTCACTGTAGAGAGGAAGCCATGACTCTGCATTCATTCTGATCTCTCTTCACTGTCGTTTAGTTCCTACCCCTCTTCCTACTCCACATGTCTACATAATCCATACAAGACTACAGTTTGATTTACAAAGGCAACAAGTTTGAGGGTCTTCATTTGGTTCTGGGACTTGGGTTCTAATTCTAGTTTTTTCCTGTGACTCCAAATCTAATTTTTCATTGAGAGTTTGTTATTCTGGGGGGGGGGGAATACAGCAACAGCAGCAACCTGCATTTCCATCAAGCTGTTTACCTGTCCTATCATGAAGGAAAACCAAAAATACACAAGAATTTGCATCCTTCTCTTTGGGGGACCAACAGGTGGAGAAACACACTTGGTGGCTTTACCCCAGAGATCCCCAATGACAAATGGAGCTATTCTTGCACAACCACAGTATAGTTTGCTGCCCAAGTTTAGTGCATGAGTGGATTAAACAGAAAAGAAAGGTTGACTGTTCATGGGTATATGTGCACACACACACACACACACACACACACACACACAGAGGCATCCATCTTTTCTCATCAAGAGTGTAGGAGTGGCAGCCACAAGTACCAAGACTAAAATGTGGGAGAAGGAAGGACTGTAAAACTGCGGTGGCCAATGGGGGAAGAGTCTTTGAGGAAACCGATCTGTGCAGTGCTCTACTGTGACATACTTGAGGTCAGAAACCCCATCCTAACTGTGCAGGACAATTAGAAGAAAGAAGCAGAAGTGAACAAGACCTGGGTCTTGAGTAACATAGGCAAGTCACCCTGAATTCGAGATATGAATCTACTCCAGCCACCTTAGAAGAACCAGAGGCCTTTATACTGGCTCCTTCTAGACTCTCATAATACATTCCTGCAAGGTTGCCAGTTTTGTTGGTCACCATCCTAAAGAACTCCTTGAAAGTCACAGAGAAGTCCAAGTTCAGGGGAAGCAATTTTAGTCTCTTCTCCCTACCAAGTACTCTGATAGCACGACCATCTTTATCTTTTATGTGAGCCTGCTATGGAGTAAAACTTCCAGATCAGAGCTATTGACACATCATCAGTGCTGTTGCTCGAGAACGGCAAAGAAATCTGAGATGCCATAGCAGTGATGAGAAAGCAATTACATGGCTACATCCCCAGACTCTGATGATATCTCTCTGGATGCCAAAGAGAAGAAGGGCTTGATGAATAAGTACCTGTACCAGGTTGTCCTGAGGCTCTGGCTCTGAGCCACACTTGACAGTTCTAAGAAGTTGAACTAGATTCCACTTTCTTTTGGCCAACTCTGTGTCATCCTCCCATGTCCAGCTGATAGGAGCCAGTGTCCTAGTGATAAGAAAAAGGCCTTTGTGTAGAAATCCCAGTGTATGTGCCACTTCTACTTCCCTATTGATGTGGATCAATAGAACTGGCTTCATACTTCTCTCCTAAATCATACTTGGTGACCAAGGTAAAGTAGGAACTCTCTGCTACCCACCTATGAGTAAGCAAGGCTTTATGTATGTCCTGAATTACTAGCTGTAGGGGGTGTGCCCTCAACTGTCTAGCAAGAGCTGTCACTTCAATAATTCCACAAATATAGCTACGGCCTTCCATGCACCTGTGATAGGCACTGGGAATACAGCATAATAGAGTATAGAACATAGTTCCAACCTCAGTGATGGCCAACCAGTTTCAGGGCGGGAGATGCAGTGATGGGACTAAGATGAAATGGGTATGGCGACACATAGAAGAGGCCTGGGGGTGCATGCTTGGAGGTCTAACAAGGCTCAGAACTCACTCTGAAAACTGTGTAGAAGCAAGCCAAGGAAAGGTTGGTGGCAGGTACATGCGCAATGAGGAGCTGGGAAACAACCAGAGCAAGGCCCTGAGGCCTGTTGTTTCAGCAGATCCACCAAGAGTGTCCTCTGACAGCAGTGTGAGTGTGAGCAAGTATGAAGAGAAATGAGGTGGAGGCTGGGAGATAAGCAGGCGCCGGATTGTGAAGGCCATCCAGAAGTTTCGACTATTTCCTTGGGACAATGCTGCCATTGAAAGGATTAAGCTGATTCACACTTTTTGCTTTGGCAATGCAGTGGATGTATTATTCTAGTGTTTTCTAGAGTGCCTTCTGAAGAAACCGGTCCTATAAATTGTTTCACCAGGAAGGCTTCTGAACCAAGGAAGTTGAGGAGATGATCTGTACCACATCTCTCTCTCAGAGATTCATTACCACACTGAAGGCCATAGGAGGTCTTGCAGCAAAGCATGCTTAACTTCATTAGCCTAGCATTGCCCAAATCCTGTTATATCCCACAGAATGAAACACACTGTCGAAAGCTTGGTCAGTGCAGAAGAGTAAGAACCCAAAGCAGTTGAAAATTCACTTAAGTTCACAACCATTGCCTGGGCAGGTAGTCTGTGACCAAGACTGCGCTCCCCTGGCCAGAATCACTAGCACTTAGGCTCAAGGCCCTTCCCTAACCTTAGTTGGATATGTTGAATTGTGACCTTTAAGTGGTGGGGAAGGAGCAAAGCGAAAGCAAAAATCGCAGAAGGCAGAATTTGAGTAGCCTTTTCAGCATCAGTACTTAAAT